TGCTTGTTTGCTCGTTTGCGTGTTTATTTGTTTGTTTGTTTGTTTGTTTAGAGAGAAGGGCATAAGTTATTTACCTCCTCAGTCGACAACTTACGCTCACATGGGCATTGATGCAATAAATGGAAGATGTTCGCGTGGCATATTTTGATGTGTGTTAGTGTAAGGAGTAGGCTTTCTTTATCGGAACGACTTTACAAGATAAAAATTATCGCTGCCGACAGCAAAAGTGTGTGTGGGGGCCGAGAACTATTATCAAATGTATCATGTGCGTATATATATATATATACATGTTTATTATATGTGTGTGTATATGTGTATTATATATTATATTATATTATATTATATTATATGTATATATATATATATGAAGACTACAGGGGAAAAACAACAGTAGTCACAAAATGAAAATCGAGAGGGTGTCAATTTTTAACGCTTGTACTGTATTTCTGTTCAGCTGGTGGTTGATTGTTGTTAGATTTCCATGTTTCAACACTTAACAATATACTGCTAGTCAAACAAATATGAAGTTATGAGCCCACAAGCTTTTAAAATTGGCACCCTCACAATTTCCAGTTTGTGACTACCGTCGTTTTCCCCATGTACTCTTCATATACTATTAAATAAATTTACATACACAAATAACATACACATTATATACATTGTATACACACACATACACACATACAGACAGACAGACAGACAGACAGACAGAAAGACAGACAGACAGACAGACAGACAGACAAAAAAGGAGAGTTGAGAGCACAAACGTATGACAATTCTCTTTAAAACAACAACTAATGAACTACCAGCGGAAGACGTGAGCGATCTAGGTGCAAGCTCAGCCATAAAACTATGGTCAGCGAAGACCCAGCAGCGGCGACTCAGGAAATTGCTTTGTAAATCACCACAGCTTTTCTTGGTGGGGGGTGGGGGGTGGCGGGTGGTGTCTTTGGCCTATTAGTCTATTAGAGGACTGAGCATTGTTGTGAGTGTGTCTGTCTGTCTGTCTGTCTGTCTGTCTGTCTGTCTGTGT